AAATACTAATTTTATATCCTGCATTATGCGTCGCTGTAGAAAAGTTGTTGATTGTTTTTCGGTAACTGCCTAGTTAGTGGAACGTGGATTAAGTGCAGTTATAAGCCTCATCATGAAAAACAGAAACCGACTGTTAATGTTCATAAACACATACAAATATTATCACAAACATAGAGCCGCCGAACCTAAATAATTTCATATCATCACACCAGGTTCACCTTTCTCATTAGAAAGCAAATATGTATTTGGTATTTTAAAACAATAGTTATAATTTCAATAAATACTACTTCAAATATCAGAATGTTTTATCTATATTTTATTTTTACGTAATCATTTACCATTCAAAACATCAAAGTTAAATTTGTAATTTTTTTATCACTTATACAGAATAATTTCACTTTGGGATTCATGATCAGATTTTTGCTATGAGAAGGAATCCGGGCATTGTAAGTCTGGGAACCACTGCTTTAAGTGAAAGAAAGTGCGACTTGTACAAATAAACTTCTCCGCTTGTGGGTATTAAAACTAACAAAGTTCATAATAAAGGTACTGTATTCGGATACATCATAAATTGGCCTATTCAATATTTTTATGGCACGTTTTAAACGTATGCTAGTAAAATGGCTAAAGCCGAGATATTTGATGGTAAAGCTGGGGGATACTAGGTAAGCTGGGCGATACTGCAGTCGTTGCTGCCAAATACTCCACCTCTAAAATATTCAAAACCCTTAAATGCTCTATCATCTAATTTTCTTCCTGACAAGGACTACAAAAAGGAGAAATTGTAGTAAAGGTTTAAATCATAAAAGCTGGTTAATTAACATAAGATCTTATATTTAAATCGTTCAATCTTCAAACGTCGCCAAAGACTTATGCGGCGGCAAATTCAACACAAAAAGATACCATTTACTTTTTGAAAAACGATGCTTAATACAAACAAAAGACTAGTTAAATACATACTTAATAATTCTGTAATTTATAATTTCAGTTTAATTCATTTAAAGTTTTTATAATAATTCCAAGAATCTAAAAGTGTCCGACCGCTTTCATTAAACGTGCTGACTTCAGTAATTTTTGAAGATAAGAAAAACAAACTAGACCGAGTTTACGCAATTTTAATAATCTTAATAATCTTATTAATTAATAATCAGGTAGAACAAATAATTTTACGTTTTTCTGTTCCTGTTTAGCGTTTTAATAATTTTGCTATTTTTCTTTTCTTGTTTTGTTTCTTAATAATTTTTTTATTTTTAGCCCAAAACAGCTGTTAGTCCTGAAACACAATGTCGCGTTGAATATTAACTCTAAGTATCATCCACTCTAAATGCGCTCTTTCAGTTTTTATTCAAGTTTGTTTGTCATTCTGTAAAACGTAAGATATTTATCTTTCAAATTTAATCTGTCTGTTATGAATCAACAAACTAAGCTTTTTAAAAGCAATAGCTGCAGTTCTTAAGACTATTTTTTTTGTTTTTTACTTTTTCATTTGATTGATTTAAATTAAAATATATTTAATTAATGATATATGTAATTTAAAACATTAAACATTTTTACAGAATAACGTTATATATTTTTCCACGTTTCAAATATAACAGAAGATGAGTAACATTCCCATGAGTAACGTCTAGTATCCTCTACAGTGTTTCGCTGTTCCACCTACGCCATCTCTATTGATAATCTCTAATGTTACACTGTATTAAACTTTAAGAGCCTTTTGACCCGTTGTTAAAATCTGAACCCTTTCAGATTATTTATTTATTTATTTATTTTGTTCTTCATAATTTGATGCGTTGGTCTAATATTTTTCATTTTAACGTAATTTTATATTTTATTCGTCAATGAAATTTCCACTATGATGATCTTACCAGGAAAAGTCTGAAACTATGAACTGGTTTTAAATTTAAAAGCAAAGAAAGTACAAATAAGAACTTAAAAAATAATTTTAAAAAACAATTTTAAATATGTTCTCAAGATATTTCTGAGATATGTATAGCATGCAAAAAACATTCTAAACTTCTAAAGTTGCACTGAAATTAGCAGTTGTAGAATACAATTCTAGAAAAATGCTAAATTTTACTGATAGCCACAATGTTTGGCTGTATTAGCTTTGATTAGTGACAAAAAAATTAAGTGATGGAGTTAAACGAAATGTAGCATACTTTTTACAACAGGAGGTGGCTCATAAATTTGTACACTTTAAAAAAATCATATAAAATCCAAAAATTGGTTGGTTATTCTGAGTTCCGCACTTATCATAAAATCTATTTTTATAAGAATAAATTTATATCAAATTTTAGCTGATAAATGATGCTGCTAATAATAAGATTGTATAGAAATTATTCGTTTGCATTTGCGAATATATTTCAATATTATTAAAAATGCAACAATTTCCTTGAGTTCCCGGCAACGGAGCAACTGCTCAAAAGAGATACTCAAGAATTGCTTAGAGTAGCTGTTCCGTTTTAACGGCAACCGCACAAATAAAATACATGTCAGCAAACTCCGATTTCATATTATGATGCACATCTCTCGAAATTCTCACTAGGAATGAAAATTTGCGCTTGTAAAACGCTCTTACTTACAGATATTATAAAACACCATTTCTGCATACACATTACATTCCATTACTGGCCTTAAAATTTGTCCCAGATATTTTTGAATCAGCCTGGATATATGTACAACATGCAGTTGTATGTTATACATATATACATATCTATACATGTATGTGTAATACAAATAAATGCATATGCAGATAAATAAATAAAGATATCGGTACAAGTAAAATAAATACATACATATCTATTTTGTAGACATGTATGTATTTATTTTATCTGTACCGAATAAAGATATGGCAGTTTGAAACCCTCGCCTCTTAAATACTTTTTTCAACACTTTTGTATTTTAATGTATTATGATATTTAATTCATTATATTTGAATACTGCAGACATTCTAATTTTTAATTGCCCCCCTCCCCTTATCTTCGAAAAAGCTCTGCTCCATAAATAAGACTCTTTGCTATTACGGTTAATCAAAGTAAGTCAGAGGCTGAAAAACTCAAAATAGTGTCTTCAAGATTTTCAAATGCTTATAAAATTAATATTTTAGTCTAATATTTATGCGATAAAATGATTACTATAATAATATATGAAATAAATTAAGAAGAATAATTTTACGCAGTTACATAGATTTGTAAATAACATGTTCTTATCACTTCTGTCAATTTTCAATTATCATTTCATTTAAAATACCAATTTTTATCGGCGGGATCATTAGTGTTACGTACCCTCGAAATGTATTGATCTCGTATCTTAAATTATGCAGCTCAGCAAATTAAAATTTTCCTAGATTTATTTTTATATCGCTCTATAAGGAGAGGCTAACAATGCCAAGTAGTCATGCTTGCTACACTCAAGTTCTCCCCATCGCGGAGTAGCATCAGGTTATAGTATTTAATATAAGGCTCCTAAAGGAACGCCTTCAATTCTGGGGTGTATTGTAAATCACAATAGAAACCCAGAACATGACAGAATATCGCAGTAAATAAACCTGTACAGATCTTAACTATGCTTCCAGACAACTTTTCTGCCCTTTATTTTTCAAACTATTTTTAATAAGTATTTTATTTATATTCTGTTTAAATAATAAAGATACAAAATATAATATAAGTGAACAGTAATTTAATGTCTCAAATACAGTATATCAGTGCTCTCAAACTCAAACTGCATAGGGACCTAATGCATAATCTGAAAACAGTTGAAGGGCGAAAACGTTTTTCTTCTCAAAACGAAAGTTTTTTTTATCAACAAAAATAACAAATATTTTAACTAAATTTTAAATTTCATTTACTAAATATTTATCAAAGTATACGTAAACAATAATAATACGAAAATTTAAAAAATCAAAATTATATTTTTTCCCCATCTGTAACTTAAGGTCTGGAACCACGAAGACATTTTTGGGGGGCTTACGCTTAGTTATTCAAATATATCGACAGTTAAATATTACATTTTCAAATTGGCATTTATTTCAAATAATTCTAACATGTTTAATTACTCACCAAGTAACTTACATGAATTTAAACGAAAAAGAGCAAATTATAGAAAAAAAAAAAAAAAAAAAAAAAAAAAAAAATTTAAGCTTTTAGAGAAAACTTTCCAAGAAAGGAATACAGCTTGAGAATAAATAAGGAGCACCTAGTCTCTTATTTGTTAAATTTTTCTGCGACATATAAATTAAAGTTCAAATGTTTGTATAAATTAAACTACATGTGTTTGCATGCAAATAATTATAAATTTTGTATTGGAATAAAAAATTTGTATAACATCCGTGAACTGGAGTAAAATTACTAGAAATTATCTCCATCAAGCATTACTGATGTTCATCGGTCAACCGAATTCTTTTCTTATTAATATTTCAATTGCGAAAATCAGCTGTTGACATGGTAATATATTCCCAAACAAAGCTATTATTCTTAGTGCAAAAATTCATAACTGAGCGCACTTATTTTCACAAAATTCTTTTTTCATTCCTGTAAGCCAAATCTACATCTTCAAGTCTGAATATGATTTATAACACACTATAAATTAATGAGCTCCATTTATAGATTTTTTATTTATTTTTGTTTTTAATGCTAATGAAAATAATGTAAACTCCAACTTTAAATAATTAAAATCTTGAAATCTCCGTAAATCATTTCTTGATATTTGCAACAAATATATAATTGAAATGTATTCGCGTATGCAGGCTGCATGCAGCCCAGTTTGAGAACACTGTAGTGCATTATAGAATACTGCAGTACATTATAGCGGCAATAAAACTAAAAATCCCCTATAATCTATATATCTACCCAACAGTATCTAACTTTCTTTTCACGACACCATCTCTTTCTGTTCGCCCCAATGAGTTCTGAACAATATTCGGAAGTCAGTCAACTTCATCAGTATTCAATATTCTGTTTGAAAATGTAAATTTTGAGAAGTTTAGAAACGAGAAAACTAACCTATAAGAAGCGAGATCCAGCAGCAAAACAAGAGCTTCAGAATCCTCATGGTTCCAAGTTTCACATCTGAAGCCTTACTGACACTGAGGGAAAGTGGTCAAACTTGTTGATCAGTGCACGAGATATCATATCTTTCCTGAGGGGATGAGTAAAAATTAAGAACTTTCTTTGATTGTGTGAGTCACTTGATTTCATTCAGCAGGAGACCTATAATTAAATTTATTGCAGGAATTCGTTATTTATATTAAATGTTGCTTGTTTTAAATTTTCTTAATAATATTTGATTGTGTATAATATTTGATAGTAATATATATTTGATTACATACGTTACTATTCAAATATTATATAATAATAAAATTAATAATATTACTATATCAAATATTGGGTAGAGTAGACTTTAAGGTACCCCTTGTATTATGGCGAAGTTGTTGTTTGATTTATCGCCAAGTTGTTGTTTCATTTATGGTAGCCTGAGTAGTTGAATGTTATGGAAATCCTATTGTGACGTAATCGGGTGCATAATTTGAGCTCGGATGGTAAGAAAAAAAAAGCCAAAATAGCTAATATTTTTCACCTCTACTATGCAATGAGAGAATAATAGTAGGACAGCTGTTATCAGAAATATATGCAGCAGGTCAACATAAGTTCTTACCCGGCTTTAATTTTCGCAAACGTTGATTATAGACATATTCTTTCAAATATAAAAATGTTTTCATAGACGCAAAGATTCAAGTTTTGCCATTTTTAAATTTAACGCAATCAATCTCTTAAAAATTACCAAATCTAATCTTTTATACGTTCCTCCGACCCTTGTACTTATATTTAGGAAAATTTTGCATTTGTTATAAAAAGTAAACCACTAAAACCTTGACTTCCGTATGCCCAAAAAGTTGACCAAAATATTTAATTTTAAAAATTTACGATTTTTGATGTCATATTCAATTTGTATCGAGGTTCCAGTTAATAAATAAGTTAGAATAAATAGAGCTTTTTTCGATCGAGTTTGGGGTCATTTTTTACACCGAAAATTTTGTAAAATCTTTTGACATTCTCTTTCATTCCTGTTCATTTATGTTGGAATTTTTTTTCTATATGAAGCATGAACCTGAATAAAGGTCAACTGACGTATGTACCAGGCCAGAATTTAATAAGAAGGTTAACTTACAGAAAAGATAAGTTTCCTTTCAATCCATCGACTTCGTTTTAGAAACTCCTGAATTAAATTTGTTTCATGCTTGATTTGGTTTTTAAACTCATTGCTATTCCATTTTTTCAGATCAAAGATGTATTTCTCCCTACGCCGGCGATTCACTGGGAGTTTGCCAAGGAGTTTGTACTAAGGAATATCTGTTAAAATATTCTCCTAGCTTCCTTCTTAAAAGCTTGGGTTTGCTTCAAGCTGTATAGTGAGATGTGAAATGAAAAAACTGGATAGAGATGTCCTATATATAGATTCAGATTTCATCATTTACGCTCGAATGGCAGAAATAATCCCTCATTGGGAAATTTTCTAGGAGAGTTTACTGGCGAACTGCATGGGAAGGTCATTAAAACATTCATCTTTGATAAGAATCCTATAGTCTATAGTCTAAAGAATTACTTATTTAGTTTTAACACGTCTCTGTTTATTTTTCCAAGAGGAGCAAAAAGTTTAATCATGTACATATCTTTAAGGTTAATAGTGTCTTTTTCTCATGATTCTTTATTTCTCTTTCAGGGTGGCCCAACAACTTTGCGAACCGGATTGGCGACTGAGAAACATTTTTTTCAGAGAGGATTTTCGCTGAATTTCAGGAATTCTCAATTGCTGGTTTTTGAAATGATCAAAAGTTAGTATATAATCTCGACCAGGGAGAAAAAGTCAGGAAAAGTCTTCTGCAAAAGTCAGGAAAAATTACTCAAGAAGCGAAGCGGAGGAATGTAATCCACACAGCAGGAATAAAGGTTTATAAAAATGTGTTCAACAAGCGTGTGATCAAACCTGATTTTGCTACGATTCCCTACAGTTTTTGAGACTTTGAAATGTTTTGCATATACAGGACTGTAATTTTATGTGCACAAAATAATGTACTTTCAAGTATGAAGGACTTTAAATTTTTCTTACGAAAATGACTATGAAATTATGAGCACAAAATACCGCGTATTTTCAAGTATGAAAGAATTTTTTACTATTCGACAAAATATAAACAGAAATTTGAATAAATAAATAATGGAGTTTTTCTTTTTTTCCCCTTAGGAAAGATGCCAGGTAAGGTACGTTTTCTGTTACATTTTCTAGAAAATAATTGTTACATGATATGTTTTTCAAAAATCTTTCATATGTTAGCTTAATAAGAAAAAAATGTAATACAAATGATCATTTTTTGTAACATAAATAATCATCACATAAGGTTATGTTTCAAAATACTACACATTTGATTAGTACTATTTCAGTCACAGTTTCAAAGATGATTTTCTTTTAGATCTAGCATATACAGTTTATACATTTATTACATACTTGTTTTTCACAAAATCTTGAGGAAAGTTTTTAACATCCAGTACATTTTTAAACAGTTCAAAGGCAAAAGCTCCTTGAGTTTTATTTCTCAACAAATATTTCTAGTTGAATTGATTCTGGACGATAATGCGTTTTCGTCGAAGCCGGAATACGCATTTAACGTCCAGACTTAATTCTTTATTTCTATGTCCAGGAAGTCTGATGCTCTCTTAACTCTAATTTTGTGTGACATTTTCCTCTGTTTCACACTTTCTCAGAAAGTTCTTCAGGAGTTGTTCTTCAGAAATTTTGATATGAGGAAAAGTAACATACTTTTGAAGAACTTGGGCATACAATTTGAATATTTCTTCATTCAGTTTGTTTTTTATGTTATTTATATGCCCAACCGGACTATAATTAATATCAATAACTAACTGGTAAATGTTACAGGACCAGACATATTGGGTATCAAATTTTTGTAGCTGTGAAAAATAAACATCTTTTCCCAATTTCTGAACTCTTTTTCTTATCCCGAGATGGCCTGAAATTTGAGAATCATGCAATTCCTGAAAAATAGTTAAACTCGCTGGGATAACCCTTCTGAATTTATTATTATTATTTTTACTTTGGAGTAAAACCAAGAAAATGTTAATGATTTCGTAATTTGCAGCTTTGGTTTTAATACTCGTCACACCATTATGTTCAAAGTGGTCGGTATCTTTTAAATGCACATAAATCCATTGCTGGCCATTAAAATTGCAACGCCATGACGAAAGCAAATACAAAAAAGATATTTATTGTACGTAAGCAGAATGGCATGAAGACAAAATGATTAAATTTGAAAGCAGTTTGGGGGTTCACGGGAGTGCGAAATTAGTAGAAACAGGTGCCGCCCCTGGCAGCTAAAACGGCCTTTATCTGATTAGGTATAGAGTCGAACTGGGCTTGGATGACAGAAACGGGTAATTCATTCCATGTTGGTTCAAGTCTATGCCGCACTTCATCAACCGTATTATTAGCTGGAGAGGAGTGGCACGCCAGCGTCTCAGCAACCCACGACCACATGTTTTCAATGGGTGACAGATCTGGGAACCGAGCAGGCCAATACCCTTAATCGATAATCGAATACCCTTTGTATCGAGGAAGAACATGATATTAAACATGTGATCTTGCATTATTTTCTTGAAAGACGGCGTTTATCAGGACTCGAAGATAGAGCACAACTACTGGACGTAAGATGTCAGAAATGTACCGATCTGCGTTCAAATTACCGTCGATTAGAATTATAGATGTGCGTGTCGTATATCCAATGGATGGCCAAACCATCACACTAGGTGCAAGATTCCTAGACCGATAGCGAATGCAAGGACGCGACGTGGTGTCTTCTTGGTGCTCCTCTTATTGGTGTCTTCTTGGTGCTCCTCTTCTTGGTGTCTTCTTGGTGCTCCTCTTCTCGGAGCAGACACGTATACGATCATCAGAATACTGCACGCAGAACCGGGTCCGGTCTAAAATGTCCACATTTTGCCCCTCCTATATACAGCTTTGTCGTTCGGCGCACCAGATTCGTCGTTCCTCTCTATGCTGCACTGTGAAGAGAAACCGAAGTAATGGTCGCCGTGCCGATAGTCCATGTTGCTGCAAAGTCGACTCACCGTATGAGCGTACACTGGATGTACTGCAAAATACCATTTCCTAAAAAATGGTCCGTGATATGGTTGTACGGTTTTGCAGGGATAATCTCACAACATGCTGTCCTCTCGGGTGTTAGTCATGGGAGGGCGTTGAGATCCTGCATGCCATTCAGTATGACCTTGAGCAACCCATTCATTTCACATTCGCATGACAGTGACTGGATGTCGACAAGTGCGACGGGCGATATCAAGGAGCGATAATCCCCATTCTCGATAGGAATCGATCCTGCCTCTATCGAATTCCGACAGTTACTGGTAAGTATTTCTTATTATTATTCGAGGCATAATACGATATTCTGAGCAAACAAAGCGCTTTCCGAATAAATCCATTACACAACTTTTTTATGCAGTGCTTCAGATGTCATTTCTCCTTCCTGCGTCGTCTCAATCCCCTGAAATACACTGGTGAAATAAATTTAGAGATTTTTCATATTTGATCTACGATGTCCAGAACTACTGGACAGATTTTAATAAAATTTGGTGTGAACAGAGTTTGATATAATACAAACAAAATAAACATTCAACAGTTACAATAGACACACATGTTCCTGTTTAACACTCATGGGAATCTGAAGGTCTGAAACAGCGGTTGCAGAAGAAATGTGTTAATAGGGGGTATGGTCCCCTCTTACAGCTATATAGGCCTCGCAGCGTGATGTCATACTGGAAATAAGACAGTTTATCAGTGCCTGTGGCAATTGGTCCCACTCATTCAGCAACGCTGTTTTCCGTTCCTGGATGGTTCTCGGAGGGGTTTGCGAGTTGCAATTGCCCTCCCCAAAGCGTTCTAGACATGCGCTATAGGGTTGAGGTCTGGAAACCTGGCTGGCCAATCCATCCGGCGAATATCCTCACTCTCGAGAAATTCGTCGACCAGAAGAGCTCTATGTGGCCTCGCGTTATCGTCCTGTAAGATGAACT